CTAGATATTAATATTCCAGGCAGTCCTGAAGAAACCTTTTCTTACCTAGAACAGGTTGAGGATTATAAGGAAATGATTAAGCAAACTATGATAACTTGCACTATATACAGTAATTTATCACCAGGTGCTTCCAGATTTTTAGGTAAATAAAGAGGTGGCCTAATTTAAACCACATCCATTTTGCCTCCTGTCCTCCTCCTGATATGGCTGTACAGTGTAAAGGTAACTACACCTCTGTCCTAATCTTCCCACATTCAGTTTATTGCTAATAAGAACTGGTGAGATAGGGGTGTCTGTGTGGTGGGGTTAGGTTGTTAGTCATCGTTTAGTGCATAAAACTCATGGCAGATGTACAGTGCAGTTATCAGATAAAAAGGGCTAGAAAAAAGATTTGATGAGGAGTTGAGAGGGAGGAGGGGTTTCAAGGCTATTGAGCCTTCTCTTCATTTTATTAGCCCCTGTTCTCTTCAGACAGGGGAAGAATGGCAGGATCTCAGTAATGGTCTGCCTGGGAGCAGTGGAGGATTATAAGAAAACGATTAAGCAAATTATGATGACTTGAACTATATAATTTATCATCAGGTGCTTCCAGTTTTTTAGGTAAATAAAGAGGTGGCCTAATTTAAACCACATCCATTTTGCCTCCTGTCCTCCTCCTGATATGGCTGTACAGTGTAAAGGTAACTACACCTCTGTCCTAATCTTCCCACATTCAGTTTATTGCTAATAAGAACTGTTGTAGGGGCTGCTGGATTCTATGGTGCTTGTTTCACATGGTATATATAAATTTCAACATGCCCTGGAGGACCATATTTTGCTGTTATCCAGATAATCACTCATTGGTTTGCAGTCTTTCCAGACAGTCTAAAATTTGAGGGACCTCTGCTATGTTTCATATGCAGTTTTTATTGAAATTATTACACCTACTAATACAAATGTTTTAAACTGTCACTGATAGATGATTATGCTATAGTAGAAGATTAACAGAATTTGTCTTGCTCTTTCTGTATATTTTTACACTTTGAAAATGTCACATCCATGTACTCTTCTTTTTCTGGAAGGTATGCAAAATCAAGTCAGATCAAGACAATGTCCAGCAGCAAAATATTTTTTAAGGGCAGTAGATTTCGATATAGGTAAGTACTTTCTGGTCACTCTGGCGCCTTTTTTTTTTATTAAGATTAACCATTCTGGGGGTGGAGAAGAGATCTTGGAAAATTAGTAATGTGAAATTAAGCCTTTAGGTCTAGGGGACTCCCAGTTAGTAGGGATTCAAAGCCATTGCAATCTGATTATGAAAATCAGTTGGTGGTTTCATTTAGATTGGGGTGGCCAATATTTTTTGATGGGGGGGCACTCCAAGAATTTGGAACGTGGTTGGTTGAGGGCTGCACTCTTCCATGACATTAATGGAGGAGGTGCAGAGTCTGGGATGGAGGTTAGGTGCAGAAGTGAGCTTGAGGTAAGAGAGGGTGTTTGGGTAACGAAGGCAGTTGTGACCTGGGGCACTGGACTGGTGTGCAGGGGGTTGGATTGTGACCTAGGGCCAGGAATTGGGGTACAGGAGGGGGTGCAGGGAATTGGGTTGTGAGCCAAGGCATGAGGGGACTGTGAATCTGGGGCAGCTGATGAGGGTGCTGGATCTGGGAGGGGGGTATAGGTGCAGGAGAGGGCAAAGGATTTGGATATGTGGAGTGGGGGACAGAAGTTTGGGGAAGGAGGGGGAATGGGGTGCCAGAGGTAGGCTCTGGCCAGGAGATTTACCTCCAGATGCCTCTAGAATCAGGTACAACATATATTGGTGAGATAGCAGGGTGAAACTGACACAGCTCTTCTGCAATTGTTTTGTAGACAAATAATCTCCAGGATTTTTGGTGGGAGCACTCCACTAATTTCTTACACATTAGAAAATAATGTACTCTGATATTCTATCTTCCCAAAAACTGTCACTTTTTTGTTGCCATTTTAATAGTTGGTGTGACAACTACATATCAGTATTAACATACATTTTTAAAAAATCCCTCAAAAGTTGTTTGACTTCTCTAAATCATGTTTTGTTACAGTGGAAAGGTCGCCAAAGAGGTGGTTGAAGCAAGTTCTAAAATCCAGAGAGAGCCTCCTGAAGTGCACAGGTATGTTTTGATGCATTAAATTTATGGAATAAAGAAGAGTCTGCTTTACACAGAAAATGTCATTTTGGTTAATATGGTACTATACATCATCATTTTGAGTAGCTATTTGAGACCGTTCTAGTGAAAGATGTTAAGAGTTAGTATAACACTATTTTCTCCATATCACTTTATCTGCTAGATAAGGGAATTGAATCATCCTGTTTTTAATTTTTTTTAGGAGCAGGGATTCATGTAGCAATTTATCCACTGACTTAAACCGTTTAAAGTTAAAGGAGAATGGTTCTTCTTACCTTATTTGGAGAAAAGTTCTCTGGTTTACTTTTTCTAAAGCTATACTGTTGAACATTTGAAAATAATCAGGTGTCTTCCTGAGACATGTCATTTGAACAGCCAGCAGGAGTTGATCAGATCCTGATCAAAACTAATGGAAATGGAAAACTTCAACTAACTCCATTTTTAGAGACTAAGCAGGAGAAAGAAATGGAGGAAGGAGGAAAAGGAACAGTACCTTAGAAAGCTTCAAAAACATATACCTGTCAATGACAGCAATGATTGCTTAGTTCCTTGAATATTTGCAGCCAAAGTCATGCTACTGTTGTAAATTTTTTTTTTTTTTACTTTTGTGTATGGAGTATGTCAAGCTTCCCGCTTCCCCCCCACTAGTGTCCTGAAATACCAACTAGACTTTTGATAAATGTGGAGGGTTGCTCTAAGTTAGGCTTTTTATAATGTCTAAAAGATAATATTCATAAAGATAAAGTTGTGTTGCACACTCTAAGGTGGGCATACATGGTCTCTGAATAACATGAACAGGTGACATTTAAATAAAGCACCAAACTGAGGGTCTAAAAATTATAAGTTGTCCAAAATAAGAGTACAAGTATAAGTGGGTATGTCATTGAGATTGAATACACTATTTAAATATGCAAATGAACATTAATTATAGGAGAACCATTTGTGTGTCCAAATTGTCTTGAATTATTCTTTCAATTTTCTACCAGTCCATTCTGAGGGTGTATTAGTTTATTAAATTTTTTTGTATTTGGCTTTTCTGTAATTTTACAGCCTTACAAAAATAATATTGGTGAACTATGACAGAAAACATACTGTTGCCTATTCGAAGGGTTTATTCTAAATAACACAACTGCTGCATGAACTTTGCAGCCTTTCAATGAACTAAGTTAATATTGTTCAAAGTCAGTCTGAGTCATTAATGACCAGCCTTTAAATAATGTTCTCAATTAGCATATCGGGCTTTACATTTTCTGAAAATAAAATAGCAACTCTAACATGCATAATGACTAAGAAAATATCTCAAGTCTGTTCATTTATATGTGTAATCTGGCAAGTGTGTTTTGTGTGTGTGTATATATACATATATATATATAAATAAAGGGGAGAGAGACTCTTTTGAGATAGGCTATTACAGTGTTTCCCAATTTTATTTGGCCATGGAACCCTTTATAAAAAAACGTCAGGGAAAACTGGTCGACCAAAAAAAAAAAAAAAAAAGCGGGGGGGGGGGGGGGGGGGGGGGGGGAAGCACACTAGCTGCGCCCCCCCCTCCCCCCCAGCAGACCAGGGACACGGGGAGCAAAGCCGTAGCGGCAGCGGGGTGCCGCGCCTCTGAGGCTTTGCAGTCGGGGACTGCCTGTACTATTTAAGTAGTGTGTAATTTTGTGATCCTCTAAAATGAAGGAGAATATTGCATTAGTAGAACGTGAATAGGTGCTCTTCTTGGCCTAGACTGAAACAAAATCCACACACTGGGTGTGTCTTGACTACGTGGCTTCATCGACGGAGCCATGTAGATTAGGCAGGACGGCAAAGGGAAATGAAGCTGCAATTTAAATAATCACCGCTTAATTTAAATCTAAATGGCCGCCACGCTGTGCCGATCAGCTGATTGTCGGCACAGCGCGGCAGTCTAGACAGGGATCTGCCGACCCCAGAACCCTTCATCGGCAGATCCTTTATGCCTCGTGAAACAGAGCCATGTAGTTTAGACGTACCCACTGTGTGGAATCAGACACTTGCTCTCATTCCAGGGCATGGCTCTTTTAATAAAAACATCTACAACAACCTACTACTGGGATTCCTGCCTACAATCTGCTGTATTAATTTTAATAGAATAGATAGCCCAAAGGTGTTGGCATGATTGTCCAACATTAAACAGTCTTAAAAGAGGTTCAGGTTTTGGTATACAGAGTCTTGAGTCTCCCTAGCACCATGGCAAACACACTATTTATAAAAGTTCTTTTAACCTTTTATTAAAGATGAAGGAAAGAAGGAAAAACAGTTGAAACATTTGACATGAAATTATTGAGAACTTCATTTTAACAACATCCCTTTCCATTTCCTTTTAGCTAGAATGAGTTTTTAGAAGGAAAACTTCCCTTATTTGACAGTCTCTTAGATAGCATAAAGAGGGAAATAACTGGCTTTTGAGGAAAAGAAAAGTTAATTGAGACAGCCTGGAACTGCTTTTGTTGTTAAGGTCCGATCCTATTCTATCCCAGTTAGTGTTTGGGATTCAGCTGGAAACATTTGAGGTAGTCATATCATCTGGGTTCCTCTCTCTCTCTCTGGCCCAGTTGGGTCAGCATATTTCTCAGGATTAGAAGAAAAGAAGGTTTGGAGTCTCGTGAGAGAGTAGGCATAGCAGCAAGGTAGTTGAAACCTCCTCCACTAGCCCATTTTTTCCCCTAAAAATACTTTTTTAAAGGACCCACAAAAGGAGTGAGCACTGGAAGAGCCTCAATATTTTGTCTACCAGAAGACCTAGATTTTGACACTTCAATTTTGATTAGCTGATTTCTGGTTCCACACTTTTCTTGTTACGAAGCATGATATGAACACGGTCTGATTTATACCAGTAAGCCTTTTGATTTGGACTAATTTAGCACGTCTGACGACTCCCTTTCGTAGCTTTTCACATCCACACTTGTAAGTTTCCGTGACATCTTATGACCTTTCAGTGGCTTCTCACAGTAAACTCATAAGTAAAGCAAATATATGGGCCCAATTATCACAACAACCCAATATATCCTCTTGAAAGAACCACTCCAGTCTTCTTAACAAATGACAAAGATAGCCAAGTGGCTGAGTGAGTCAACAGAACATCTAAATCTTCCCTAATAAGATCAACACTTGCTAACAGGGCAGGCTGTACCAAAGAGCTAATAATAATAAACTAATAAAAACAGCTTGAGGGCCTGAGGGGATGTTGTAGAGGCAGTGTCTAAAGTGAGAGCTGTTATTCATCACAATAGGGACAAAAACACTCATAGTTCTTGGGTCTATGCTGCCCAAACTACAGAAGATCATTTTCCCAGTCCCTGAGACAGTGGAGCACGATTGCTCATCAAAATGATTAGCATCCTCTCTATGTTCTTGTCATTGCGGTGCTGTGTGAAGTGGAGCAATAAAGCTGAAATGCAGCATAAAATGAGAACATGTGAGTCTAAATGAAGCAGGAAGCCAGCCTATTGCAGAACCTCTTATCAGCCACTCTGCAGCACTAACAGATAGGGAAGGAGTCAAATGACATGTGTATGTGGGCATGTTCTTCTTGGCAGACCATTGTAACTTGTCCACAATTATTTTGAAGAAAGTGATGTTGCAGTTGTGTTTATTTGTAATGATTTCTTGTGAACAACATGATGCGGTTTATCTTTGCTTTTAGAACCAACATTCCTCAGAGCCGTAGCTCTCATTCCTTGAATAAACAACTCATAATCAATATGGAACCACTGCAGCCTCTTCTCCCTTCTCCAAGTGAGGAGGAAGAGGTTCCTTTAGATGAAGGTGAGTCACTTATCTGACTTGTTCATACTCAGAAATTGTAACTGTTGTTATTAAAAACCATTCCTGTGCACATGGAACAATTACTTTAAAGATGCAATATCAACTTAGTATGGAAATAGCTGGACAGTTACCATTCTGAATTACATCATTAACTCTCTGGACATTGTACTGAAAAATTATTACTAATTCTGAGAGCTGTGTGGTATGAAAGCTGCATGCCAGTAGCAAGGATGTCTCTCAATGCTTTACTGTTGTAGCTACCAGCCTGGGATGCTTACAAACCAGCCTGCAAGCAATCAGGTCACACTCTGAAGTGTCTGTGGGTGTGAAGCTCTGGCTTAGTGGCTGTGACCTCAGCAGACTGCTTACAGCTCTGCTTTGGATTACATCAGCCTGGGTTACATCCAGCAAGGTGATCCCACCATGCTCCCAGTCCCAAAACCATATGCTGTGTGATGATCAGCCCTCTCATGGACCATTCAGAGAAATAATAAGGTTAATTTGTTTCTCTAAAAACCCAAAAGTATGTGTCAACTTATTAACTGAGGCAAATTCTCTTCCTTCTAAAACCACACTGAATTAGTTTATACTTAAAGCAAATGTATTAAAACTAGGACCTAGATGAAGTGAGACTCATAAAAGGAATAAAGTTAGAAAGGGTTACAAGTAATAAAAGTGAAAACATGCATCCAAAAGTATAAACCTTCGTCTAGCGAGGTGCAAACTCTTCAAGGGTATGTCTACACTACAAAGTTAATTCGAACTAAAGGACGTTAGTTCGAATTAACTTTGATAGGCGCTACATTAGCACTCCGCTAGTTCGAACTTAATTCGAACTAGCGGAGCGCTTAGTTCGAACTAGGTAATCCTCATTCTACGAGGACTAAGCCTAGTTCGGACTTACTAGTTCGAATTAAGGGGTGTGTAGCCCCTTAATTCGAACTAGTGGGAGGCTAGCCCTCCCCAGCTTTCCCTGGTGGCCACTTTGGCCAACACCAGGGAAACTCTACTGCCCCCCTCCCGGCCCCGGAGCCCTTAAAGGGGCACGGGCTGGCTACGATGTTTGTGCCAGGTGCAAGCCTGCCAGCACCCAGCTAGCAGACCCTGCACCTGGCACGGCTCGAGCCAGCCACCCAATGCCCTCCAGCCCTCCCCCTCTTCCTGGGACCAGGCTGGCGGCTCCCGGGAGCTTGCCCGGGACCGCAAGAGGCGGGCACCCGCCTGGTCTAGTGTGGACATCGTGGACCTTGTCCACGACCTCCGCACTAGGCAGAGGAAAGTGGCCGTCTAAGGCAGGAGAGCTGCCAGCCTGGCCACCTAGGAGCAGGTGTGCATGAAAATCAAGGTGGTCCACTGAGACCGGACCCTGAGCCCTGAGCTTACAATGGCCGTCCTGGGTCAGACCAAAGGTCCATCTAGCCCAGTAGCCTGTCTGCAGACAGCGGCCGACCCTAGGGACCCTGGAGGGGATGGACCGAAGACAGTGACCAAGCCATTTGTCTCGTGCCTTCCCTCTCCAGCCTTCCACAAACTTTGGGCAGGGACACCACTCCTACCCCCTGGCTAATACCACTCCATGGACCCAACCTCCATGACTTTCATCTCACTTCTCTTTCAACTCTGTTCTAGTTCTAGCCTTCACAGCCTCCTGCAGCAAGGAGTTCCACAGGTTGACTCTTTGCTTTGTGAAGAACAACTTTCTGTTACTAGTTTGAAGCCTGCTACCCATTCCTTTCCTTTAGTGTCCTCTAGTCCTTCTAGTATGGGAACTAATGAAGAACTTTTCTTGATGCACCCTCTCCACCCCACTCATGCTTTTATAGACCTCTATCCTATCCCCCCTCAGTCTCCTCTTTTCTAAACTGAAAAATCCCAGTCTCTTTAGCCTCTCTTCATATGGGACCTCTTCCAAACCTCTGATCATTTTAGTTGCCCTCCCCTCTCCCACCCTTTCTCTTCCCCTCTCCCACCTCCTTTTCTCAGTCTCCTCGAGTTTTGCTCAATAAAGAGATTCTATTTTTGACCACACATTTTCTTTATTTTGTACATCAGGAAGGGGGGCTAGGGAAGGGTAAGTGGAAGGAGGTGAGGGAGGAATGGGGTATGAGCCCCCGATGGGGAGGACTAGGCTGGCTCTGCGGGCTTCTGGGGGGGGAAGCTCTCCTGCAGCCCCCCAATTACCCCCTCTCCCCAGATGGTAGCCTGCGGCAAGTACAGCCGGTCTGATGGCCGAGTGCTGTGATGTGCCCAGTGTGGGCACTCAGGGCACTCCAAGCCAGGACTGCTTTGCAAGCGGGGCACCCCTGAGAACTGTCTGTCCGGGGTGGGGGTCGGGTTCCTTTAAGCACAGCCCTCGGCTAGCCTGAGGCAGCAGCTCCGCGCTCTAAGTCCTCATCTGATGCCCTGCCGGCACTGCTTCCGGCCATCCTTAACCCCGGTTCAGGGTCCACTTAATGTGGACATGCTAGTTCGAATTAGCTTAGTTCAAATTAACTAATTCGAACTAAGTTAGTTCGAATTGGCGCTGTAGTGTAGACATACCCCAAGATAGTTGCTCTCACTAATCTTCCATCTTCCCGCCCTTGGCTGACTTTTCCTCGAAGTACAAGGTGCTGTTTTCCCTTGTCTTCTGAGGTGAAAGATCTTTTCCAAAGCAGGTTTCTCTCCTATATTCAGTTTTCAGACTTCTGATCCTCTCCTCCACATATTGAAGGACTCATCTTTGTCAGCTTGTAGGAACTCTGCTCCTTTTGTTCTGTCTGGTGATGAATACCAAGAACATAAGAATGGCCATACTGGGTCAGGCCAAAGGTCCATCTAGTCCAGTATCCTGTCTGTCAATAGTGGCCAATACTAGATGCCCCAGAGGGAGGGAACACAACAGGTAATCCTCATGTGATCCCTCTCCTGTCACACATTTCCAGACAAACAGAGGCTAGGGACACCATTCCTACCCATCCTAGTTAATAGCCATTGATGAGTCTAACCTCCATGAATCTATCAAGCTCTTTTTTGAACTGTGTTAAAGTCCTAGTCTTGACCACATCCTCTGGCAAGGAGTTCCACATGTGTGCACTGAGTAAAGAAAAACTTCCTTTCATTTGTTTTAAACCTGCTGCCTATTAATTTCATTTGGTGACTTGGCAAAAGGTGATTTCTGTCTTTTCTTGTATCTTCCAAAGTCAATGACTTTGTTTCAAGATGCAGGATGACTACATGCTTTTATTTCCTTTCTGAAAAGGTTCAGAAAAGGGCAACAAAAACGATTAGGGGTTTGGAACAGGTCCCGTATGAAGAGAGATTAAAAAAGACTCGGACTTTTCAGTTTAGAAAAAAAGGAGATTAAGGGGGGATATGACAGAGGTCTATAACATCACAACTGGTGTGGAAAAAAATGAATAAGGAAAAGTTATTTACTTATTCCCACAATATAAGAACTAGGGGGTCACCAAGTGAAATTAATAAGCAGCAGGTTTAAAACAAAGAAAAGGATTTTTTTCTTCACTCAGGGTACAGCTAAACTGTGGGGGGTTTTCGGGATACTAGAGGTATCCTGAAAAAACTCCGCCGCGTCCAGGGAACGTGTTTGCTCTTCCACTTTTTGCAGAAGAGCAAACGCGCTCTTTTGGAAGCCCGTGTATTCCTCATTCCACAAGGAGGAAGGGGGCTTTTGAAGGAGTTTTTTTTTCTCCAAAACTTGGCCCAGTCTAGATGTGCCAAATTTCGGAAAAGCCTCTTCTGACAAAAGTATTGGAAAAAGATACGCAAAACACAGCATGCATATTGCGTATTTTTTTCTGATAGATCCTTGCAGTCTAGCCATACCTTCAGTGTATAGTCAACCTCTAGAATGCCTTGCCAAGACTAGGACTTTAATAGGGTTCAAAAAAGAACTAGATGGATTCATGGAGGTTAGGTCCATCAATGGCTATTAGTCAGGATAGGTAGGAATGGTGTCCCTAGCCTCTGTTTGTCTGGAAATGTGACAGAGTGCCAAATTTCGGAAAAGCCTCTTCTGACAAAAGTATTGGAAAAAGATACGCAAAACACAGCACGCATATTGCGTATTTTTTTCTGATAGATCCTTGCAGTCTAGCCATACCTTCAGTGTATAGTCAACCTCTAGAATGCCTTGCCAAGACTAGGACTTTAATAGGGTTCAAAAAAGAACTAGATGGATTCATGGAGGTTAGGTCCATCAATGGCTATTAGTCAGGATAGGTAGGAATGGTGTCCCTAGCCTCTGTTTGTCTGGAAATGTGTGACAGGAGAGGGATGACATGAGGATTACTGATTGTGTTCCCTTCCTCAGGGGTATCTGGTATTGGCCGCTGGCAGCAGACCAAATACTGGGCTGGATGGACAGTTGGATGGACAGTATGACTGGTCTTCTGTTCTTTCTGTGAACTTTACAGTCCCTTGCTGATGTCTGTGTAAATGGGGCTTCTATTGTTTTAATGATAATTTAGTTGGGAGCTGTCCTGCTTTGGGGTTTGGATTAGATGACCTCCTGAGGTCTCTTCCAACCCTAATCTTCTATGTTTCTCTGACTGTGCCATGCTTAACTTAGGTAGGTACCTATCGCCTATGTGTCTTCTCTCCTATCTGGAAGAGATCCTGTTTATCTCTGTTTGTCCACATACTTTAATAAATAGTATAATTTATTTCCTCACTAAGTATTAATACAGATACTTCACAATGATGTTAATCAACAAGGTGCCATCTGCATTCAGAAAAGACCCCCAGTACATTTTTATAATACAATGATAGTATATATAATCAATTGAGTTGATATTATGTATATATTCAGTTCAATCCACTTTAGAATCAGCCAGTTATAGACCAATAAATCTTTGGAATGGATTCTTCTGAGAGTTAGCCTTAAAGTAAATTTCATTCAAGCAGTGAGGAGGGTAACCTCAGAAGGAGAGATGAATAAGATTGGGAGTTTTCAGCTTGGAAAAGAGATAACTAAGTGGGGATATGATAACGGTCTACAA